ATCCTTGTTTGTGGAATCATGAACATACATAATCTTTAGCCTTCTGATACTGGTATCACACATGAATTCAAAATTTGATACTTAGGTTTTGGTCAGTGGCTTCATTGTTTGGTCAGCTTTTTTTGCTCAGACTGGCACCCTACCATTTGAACAATACTTCCATCAGCATTTTGTTTGTTAGTTGGAGATGGAATCTCACAGACTTTTCTACCAGATACTTTGAGCTGCTTCAGGTCTCAGCCTTCTGATTTGCTAGTCACAGGCTTGAGCCACTGGTACATCAATTTCTCAATATTTTCACATATGTTAAATTCCTTTTACCCTTTAGATTCATTTCAAGAGTAGTAAGTCTTTATCAGATATGTTTGTATTTTTTTCAGAGTATCTTTCCAAGTACCTGACACATAGAATGCACTTCTCAATTTAAACATTAGTTGAAGATAGTATGATATACTGTGAGCCTTTCATATTTTACAGACTTGAAATTGTATCCTATTTTTATCATATATGGCCCTATCTTTTTTTCCTCATTTGTAAAACAGCCCCAAGGATACTCCTTCATGGGTAATCAAAGATCTTAGCATGGTGTCTAACATATAGTAGTTCCTCAATAAATGTGCCTTTTTTAGTCTATCCTTATTTTGTACTCGTTTAGCATGTTTCACAGAAATTTCAGCTAATGATTAGTTATTATATTGCATATTATTTTAATCATTCAGATTTATCATTGAGATTTATAATAAAATCCATAGTAGAGAACTCCATACTTAAATAATTCTTTAAAGTATTTTGCATTATATTTTAGCCATATTTGTATTTATCCAGTTACTTTTTCCATTTTTGTTTATTCAGAATTCAAGCACATGAGAAATGAGTGTACTACTTCTTGTTCTGTAGCATGGACTGAGCTAACACAGAACTTCTTTCTTATGTAGTAAATAAATAAAATATGATGGGCATGAGGGAGAGAGAGTGAGAATAAGAAGGTAGGAAAAGAAGGAGGAAAGGAAATTCCTAGATACCAGAAACGAAAAGAAGGCATAACCAGGATATTAAGTGAGCACTGCTAATACTAAGGTTGCTAGAATGATATTCGACTCTGTTGTAGGTTCTAATAGCTAGAATCTGAAATTTTCATCTTCTGTCTTGGATAGAAGATACAGCCTTAGGTATATATAAAGAGATAGGAAACAGAAAACTATATACTTGGTCAAGAAGGCCAAAAAAATCCTTTCCATTTTTAGAGGGAATGAAGTGGGGGTTGGTGGTAGGTGAGCAGAGAGGGAAGGAAGGAAAAAAAAATGTCTCATTAAAAAAAAAAATTAAACTAAACACTACCTAACAGATATGGTCTGAAAGTCTGAATGTCTAAATACTGAATGTTTTCACATAGTATAGAATCAAAAATCAAAAATTTAACATAGAAAAAGGTGGTGTTTAACCTCTGATTATCTTGCAGAATCAAATGCAAATAATGCAAATCCTTTGAAGGAGCCTTTGCACAATCTTGAGTGCCAAGAGTTCCTGTGGAGTGTGAAGAAGAGGTAGCCTCAGACAAAAATAAACTCACAATAAAAAAAAAATTAGCTTTGATAATACAACTGTTTCTTCCACATCGGGTAATATGTACATTTTTTTTCCTTTTACTTAGTGTAAGCTGTTGCAAAGCTCATAGAATTCACAAACTTTATAGACCATGATAATGACAGTTTGCCTTGTGAAGGTTAAAATGTGTTTGTGACTTTAATTAAGTATTACTATCTCACAATACTGTGAAATTTATGTAATCACTTAATCTCAATAATAAATTATTAGAAAACAAAAATGACCACCACTGAAGAGAGAGCCAGAAGACATAAACAAAAGGATCCTAAGAACAGTGTGAAAGATAAAACATAATAATTATGTTTAAAATAGAGACTTTTTGAAGAAAGAAAATAATAATGAATAACTAAGGTCATGTAAAGAATGGATGAATTTGAAAAAGAGCTAAATACAATTTGTAAAATAAAAATATTAACTCATATTAGTTTAAAAACTGATGAGATACAACTGGAAAGACAATTAGTGAACTGAAATATAAAGTTAAGGAAATTACTCAGAATGTATTGATCAGAAATGAAAATGGAATATACTATGATTAGTCTTAGTTATTATACTTTATACCCAGTAAGAAAATTGAAAAATTGAGCAACTGTTTTGGTGCACTTGTGTTTATATAGGTGTTGTTGCATTTGGTTGTATGTACCTTGAATACGTTAGAATTTTAGTGTTTATGCCATCTAAATGGAACTTTACCAGACTTAATAATCATGGTATCATAGATCTTTAGAGTGAACAATAAACAGAAGTCATAGCAATTTACTTGTCACTGATTTCTAATACTTGAGCAATGGAGTGTATGACTATAATCCCAGCAATCAGGAAGCTGTGGGTAAGGGGAGTGTGAATTATGAGTTTGGGAATAGCCAGGGGAAATACCAAGAGCCTGTTTCCAAAAATCGAAGAAAAACACTGCTACACATTCCTGAAAAGTGCAATCAAGAGGTTGGTCCTTACTAACAGAGACCATATGGAAAGGAATACATGAAAATAAAAGTAAGCATAGTTGAATTTGTTTTGAATGTTTTAATCTTGACTTACTGTGACATCAGATAGTTGAATTCATCATTATTAGCCTTCGCATTTATTTTCAAATTCTCACCACAAATAAAGGTTTTCAGTCATTTGTACCCCCCCCCGTGTGTGTGTGTGTGTGTGTGTGTGTGTGTGTGTGTGTGTGTGTGTGTGTGTGTGTGTGTGTGTGTGTGAAGAATTCATCTTTTGGGGCTGGGAATATGGCTTAATGGTAGAGTGCTTGCCTAGCATGCATGAAGCCCTGAGTTTGATTCCTCAGTACCACATATACAGAAGTGGCCCTGTGGCTCAAGTGTTAAGAGTGTTAGCTTTGAGCAAAAAAAGCAGCTCAGGAACAGTGCCCAGACCCTGAGTTTAAGCCCCAGAACCGGCAAAAAAAAAAATAATTTATCTTTTGTGTATTTGTTTCAACCATGAAAGCATTAGGTATTTCAAAGAATACTCACCAGAATTTTCCTTAGAACATCATGAAATTCTGTCACAGGGAAATGGTGGGTAAAGGCTGTAGGCATTGGAGTGATGAAACTGGAGCTTCCAAGCACATGTGAAGTACTACTACTGTAACTCAGGTTGGGCCAGATTGGCCTGCTACCTCTTTATGTTCCTCTTCTCCAATTCCATTTATTACTTCATCCCATCATTTGACTGTTCTTCATGATTCTAGTATTTGAGCCAAGTGCTGCCCTGAGTGCTGGGGAAACATGACTTCTCAAAGGCGTTTAATGTCCACTGAAGGTAAAAGCAAAGTAAACAAGAAGTTACCATGAAGTGTGGTAAAGTGCTGAGTGCCCTGAAAGCTCAAAGAAGGAACACGTTAATCTAACTTTAGTGACTGTAATGAGAAAAGATCCTTTAATGGAGTGCCAGCCAATACAAGACTAAAGGTTGAGCAGGAGTTAAGCAAGGAACATTAATTGGAGAATGGAAGAGGGGATGTTTATCATGTTCCAGAAAAAAAGAAACAGGAGGTGCAGAAATTAGAACGTGAAGACAACAGCAAGATATATTCAAAGAGCAACAGAAAGCAAATGATAACACTGTGAGGTAAATGCAACAAAGGAGCTGTGAAAGATGATATCAGAGTGGAAATCTTTAGGTCTGCCGATGTCTTTATGGGAGTAGGAGGGTAGAATTCTTGCTTAGAATGCACACAGTCTCCTGTACTGAGAGAAGTGGGAGAAAGGGGAAAGGGAATACATTAACTATTTCACAGGACTCCTGCGGTATGCAAATCCAACCAGTGTAAGATAAGAAGAGAGATTCAAAGATATAATTCAAAAGAAATACATGAAAAACCTCAAAACCTACTAAGATGATTTATTTCTGTATTTAATAGTTTTCTTTTTCATCAATATGCTTAGCATTTACAGCTGTTAGTCTTGAAAACAGAACTGGACATAGAGTACTTTAAAAGCACCCATATAAAATTACTTATAAAGCTGATCATTTCTTTCAAGTGCCATCAAAATCACATTAAGTAACCACAAAAAGAGCAAATTATTTCTTCGTTCATGTATTTTATTTTAACTAGAAGATCTCTTGAATAAAATTACTGCTGTTAATGTAGTACACATTTACGATGTTCTTCAAACTAGGTAACAGTGAGACAATGATACCTCACTTTTGATTCACTCACTCATGAGTAGAAAGATGACTGGCTTTCATTATTACATTGTCTCATTGTTTACCAGCCAAAGAAGAGATTGTTTAGACTTACTTGTTTTGCTTTAGTCACAAATTTTCCAATATACAGAATACATATATACACACATATATACATATAAAACTATAATTTATAAGCCCACGTTAATTTACTTCACATGGGATTATAGTAGGACCAAGTACATAAATTTCTAAATCTTAGTAAGAATTTTTTTCTTTTGTCTATCTTAACTTATTATATATATTTATTTTATGTAGTATGATCAAGTTAGAGTCTGTTGTTGTTATAACTGGTGAACTAAAATGTCAGGTAGTTGAAATATCTACCCATACTTAGAAGATTATATCTTATAAGAAAGTGTAACTGCTAACTTTAGGGCGCCTTAGTTATTTTAAAACTAAGATAGGTGATTTACAATCACATTTAACAAATACAAGTGAGAAGAACAATTAAAGTAGATAAAGATAAATAAATAGATAAAATAATAAAGATGTTTGCAAAATTAGTCAATAAATTGACACCGGTTACCTTCTAAAGGAGAACACAAATGTTCTCTGAATAAATGGATCTTATTAGTTTTGTTTTTAAATGGAGGAAACCTAAGCCCAAATCTTTACTTTCTGTTTAGAGACATGAGCATTGGCATTAGTAGGAACCTCTGTGTACTTCTAACTTGTGAGTATTGCTTACTGTTTTCCAGAGGAAGAAGCCACTCCAGATGGTGCTGTGGCAGAATACCGAAGAGAAAAGCAAAAGTATGAGGCTTTGAGGAAGCAACAACCAAAGAAAGGATCTTCCCGGGAAGACCAGGTAACTTCAGAAACCAAAAACACGTATTTAAATCATTGCCTTTCGGGCCGACTAGACAATGGGGGAGGCACTACCTCTTACAAATTAAAAAGGATGAATTTATGCAGCCTTGGTGGGGAGCTAAGAACCTTGGCCACTCCTAAGAGTTCAAACTCTAGAGTTCTTTCCAGACATTTAGGTTAAAAATCTGAAACTTCCAAATTTTAGCCTGGTCCTCTCATATCAAGCCCAGAAACCCTTTAAAGCCATATATCTTTAGAAATTCATGTAGAATGAATATTATGAAATGGAGAAGTAAAAAGTGCAAATGATAAGAGTCTCTCTTCCAGCCCAGTAAATTAAATGCCAAACAGCCAGCTCAACTTGAAATTACACCCTACCTGGACATGAGACATTGCCCACTAGTTGATGTCTTCTTCAATAAAACCCTGTTTGTTGCAAGTAATTTCTGAAGTTTTAGGTAGCAATATGAAAAACTGATGAAAATCAAGAATTCAAAGAGAAGCTGGGCATGGTAGCTTATACCTGTATTCCTAGCTACACAAGAGGCTGAGATTTGAGGATTTTGGCCAGTCCTGGCAGGAAAGTTAGTGAGACTCTTATCTCCAATTTACTATCAAAACAAAAAACAAACAAACAAAAAAACAGAAAGTAGAGCTGTAGTCAAGTGAGAGAGCACTAATCTGGCATAAAAAAAAGTTCAGGGGCTGTGTGAGGATCAGTACTAAATGAATAAATAGGTAGAGATAGAACTAGATCAGAGATTGGGAGGCAGTTGGCACTTGATAAAAGAAATCTCTTATAGCCCCCTTCATGTTGAAAAGATAAGGACAAAGCAAAAGCAAAATTAAATTATTTTGTCATGTATGTATGTATCTATCTATCTATCTATATATATTTGGACATGCCATTTTAGGCATATGAATAAATATGCAAAATCAAGGTAAATTTAAAACCCAAATCTATTTGGTTAAATTAATCTATTAAGAAACTTTTTAAATGACTTATTATTGGTAAGGAAGAATCATCTATCAGTACTTAGAATAAAAATAATCATAGGAAAAGTTCAACAAAAGGGTATAGGGAATTTTAACTACAGTGCACTAATTTATATGTAATTTTCAAAAGAAATAACATACCAAATGAATTTTTTAATTTTATTTTATTGAAAAGATGCTGTACAGAGGGGTTATAGTTACATGACTAAGGTAATGAATACATTTCTTTTTTCTTTTTCTTTTTCTTTTTTTTTTGGTTGTGGGGCTTGAACTCTGGGCCTGAGCTCTGTCCCTCAACCCTTCAGCTCAAGGTAAGCGCTCTACCACTTGAGCTACAACGCCACTTCCGGTTTTCTAGTGGTTTATTGGAAATAAGAGTTTCACGGACTTTCCTGCCCGGGCTGGCTTTGAACCGCGATCCTCAGATCTTAGCCTCCTGTGTAGCTAGGATTACAGGCGTGAGCCACCAGTGCCCAGCTATGAGTACATTTCTTGTCAATCATTGTTACCCCTCCTTTGTTGTTCTCCCACTATTCCTTCCCTTCCCCACCTCCCCCCCTACTCCCAAAGTTGTAAAGTTCATTTCCAATATAGTGTCTTGTGGGTATCATTGTAGCAATGGGTCATCCTGTGTCCTTGTTTCAGCATTTTGTTATTCCCCTTCCCCTTCTCAAATTAGACAAGTGTATACACAAGATGCAGGGTACCAAAATCAAATACAGTGACAACAGGGTATATACCATAGGGGGAAGAACATACAAAGGAAACAAAAAAAATCACAGAGTACATTAAAAACAACACCAACAAAGAAAGACCTCTTGTGTTTATATCTTGGGGTTCATTTCACTTATCATCATCTTACATGGTCATATGGACATAGCTTTTGAGCTTTTCTGCTCATCTGATAAAATTATCCTAGACGTATAGTAATTATTGAAAATAAGGGAAACCATGGGACCTGTATTTCTTTGGGTCTGGCTTGCTTCACTTAATATGATTTTTTTTCCAAGTCTTTCCATTTCCTAACAAATGGAAATTCTATGCTTCTGATGGAAGCATAGGATTCCAATGTATGTGTGTGTGTGTGTGTGTGTGTATCACATTTCTTTGATCCATTCATCTACTAAGAGGCATCTGGGTTGGTTCCATATCTTAGCTAAGGTGAAAAAATGCTGGCTAAGGTGAAAAAAATATGGCTTTGTGATCATTTGCGTAAATGCCCAGAAGTGGGATTGCTGGGTCATAGGGGAGTTGTATATATAGTCTTTTGAGGAACTTTTTAAGTACATTAACTTGTTTTCATGGAGTATCAAAGCCTTCTAAATAGCAACTGTAATGACCATCAAACATACTGATGATCGCCTTTATTCATGATTGTCTCTCTCCCCTCAATGCAAATAATTAATAAGAACTTATCTTGTGGCCATGCAGTGCTGGCTTATACCTATAATCCTAGCTGAGGCCGAGATCTGAGGATCACATTTTAAAAACCACGCACCAAAAAGTTCATGAGACTCTTTATCCTTAATTGACCACCAAAAAGATGGAAGAAGAGGTATGGCTCAAGTGATAGAATGCGGCTTGAATGAAAAAGCTAAGTGAAAGCATATGGCCCTGAGTTCAAACCTAGTACCAACATCCTCTCCCTCCTTCCCTCCCTCCCTCCCTCCCTACCCCTCCCTCTCAAACTACTATGCAATAATCATTTGGTAGTCACCAAGCATACACCTCCCTCCCCCCTGAGCTACAGGAAAAAATTAAACAAGTAATACCAAGAAAGAAAGTAAAAGAATAAATACAGGGAACTTGTAAATATGTAACAGTAAAACCTAAACATGGCTAAGAATGTGGGAAGGTCTCCCTAAGAAAATGTTCCATCAGCTGAGCTTTGAAAGTTTAATTTAAAAAAAGAATACAAGTGTGAGTATAACATAACTAAGAGAAGAAAAGAGGTAAGCAATAAGTCAATCCATACAATTTTTTGGTTAGTGAATGTGTGTGTGTGTGTGTGTGTGTGTGTGTGTGTGTGTGTGTGTTACTGCAGAAAGGATCAAACTCACACAGGGCTTTGCATATGTTAGGATAATGCTCATCTACTTAGTTACATCCCTTTCCTATGTATGGTATTTTTGTGCCATATTAGGGATTTACAGTTAGCCTACAGGCAATGAAGAAACCATTGAGAGAGGAAGGATGTGATCTCAGTTGCATTGAGAGAAGACCCCTCCAGCCTGGCAGCAATATCAAGAGTAGGCTGGAGTCAAGACACAGAGGCCAACTTGTGTAGGAGATGCTTGTGTGTAGCTATGCACAGACTGTTTGCCAAGCTGGGTGTCTTCAACATAACCTCTTCATGCAAAGTCTCTTGCTATGCTAAAGAACCATGCTGTAAGTGGTTGGCAACTCCTTCCTTCAGCAAAAGCCAGAAGACTGAGTAATTCCTAGCAGATGCCAAATAGAAATGCCTCCATGGAGATTCTATCTTCTTTATCATGTGACCCAGTATTTTTTTGATGTTTTCTTTTCTGCCTGGTGTCTTCTTTTGCTTTAGAATGGAGCTCACAGAATTTCATCTTGAGTACAGGAGAAGGTAAAAAAAAAGACCAAGAGGATTTTTTTGTTGTTAGTTTTTTAATTTTGAGCAAATGCCAATAGCATGCCAATTGGCTCTAAAAACAAAATGCCTTGCCACTTTTAACTCTGGGAGAAAGATCCAGGTCTCGTGTAATTTTCTAGCAACTTTTAGAATTTCATTCCATGAAGAAATGTCCTTTGTTTTCATTGTTCTTTATGTACTCAGAAAGGCATTTTGCAAAGTCCACCATTGAAAGCTGATACATTTCTGGGTGCTGGTGGCTCACACCAAGGCTAAAATCAAAACTATGGTTCAAATCCATCTAGTACACACATACATGATCCCTTCTCAACCAGTAGCTGGGCACAGTGGTATATACCTGTCATCCCAGCTAGGTGGGAGGCTGGGATTTGAAAGATCAGGGTTCCAGGCCAACCTGGACAAAAATGTTTGTGAGACTCCATCTGAAAGGAAAAAAGCCTAGACATGGCATAACATGCCTGTCATTCCACCTACAACAGAAAGCTTAAAATAGGCAGATCAATGTCCAGGTGTGCATCCAGGTCAAAAAGGAGACACACAAGTAATGACTGTAAAAAGGGCTGGATGGGGGAGGGGAGAGGAATAGGGACAGGAAGGGATAGTGGGAGAAAAACAAAGGAGAGGATAACAATGTTTGACAAGAAATGCACTCATTGCCTTACTCATGATACTGTAACACCTCTGTACATCATCTTTACAACAAAAAGGGGTGGGGCTGGAGACATTACTTCTGTGTACAGCACCTGCATAACAAGCAATCATAGGTTCAAAACCCAGTACAGCCAAACTAAAATAATTATAGGGTTGATATTTTTAAGGTACAAACTAAATAGATAAATGAAAAGTAGATAGATAGATAGATTCATGTAATTTAGATGGATGAGTGTTTATATAAGCAGATACAAGAAACAGGTATACACTAAAATATTAACGATGGTTACCCATAATAAAGTGCTAATAGTTGTTTCTGTTTTGCTCCTATTGTCCAATATTTCTGTAGTAACTTATTTCTTATTTAAAGTGAATGCAATAAAATGTATAAATGAAAGAGATTTTTATAATGAATAGGGCTTAAATCTCAAGATTTGATATTATTTGAAGGCTTAGTTCCATAATATCTATCTAGAAACAGAATAAAAATGCCAAAGTCCTAACACATTTGGCAGCTCTCAAAATGACTATGATATTCTGTTGGCATTTTCACAAATCTCATTCAGCAGCTATAGTAATTTGTGTGTTTTCAGGTGTTCTGTATGTAATCATTAAATTTTGCAAAAATGCACTTTCTTTCCACTGTCATTTTGTAGCAGTAACCTAATTATTTCTTTCAGATATCTTGACACTTCTTGTTTTTGAAGTGCAAGTTTTTGACTGCCTAATATTTATTTTTTCATGAATTTTAATCTTAACATTCACTAAATAAATTTTTATATCTAATTTATTGTTATGATTTATTATACCTGTTATCTAGTTATTGTATTAGATAATATAATCAATTATGTTGAAGAAAAATTAAATTATTGAATAGAATTTAAATGATGATCCTACATATAATAATGTAGAAATATCATTCCTCATCTTTTTCATATGAAGTCTGAGCATTTTAGTATTGAATTCAATATGTTTGGTCCTTTATCAGACAGGTAGTACTTTATGCCACTTTACTAAGTAAACTCTTTAAAACTATAGAATAGGAAAAAAATTCCTAACCATTATTCTCCGCTTACATTCTGGACTTGGCTCTTATCTCCAATAAACCACCAAAAACTGGAAGTGGTGCTGTGGCTCAAGTGGTAGAGCACTAGCCTTAAGCTGAAGAGCTCAGAGACAGTACCCAGGCCCAGAGTTCAAGCCCCACAACCTAAGAAAGAGAGAGAGAGAGAGATGGGAAGGGAGGGAGGAAGAGAGAAAGAAAGACACAGAGAGAGAATGGTACCGTTCAGAGCCAGCCTAGGTAAACATATCCAAGAGATTCTTATCCCCAGTTAATCAGCAAAAAGCCAGAAGTGGAGTATGGCTTCATGTCCCAGTATTGGCACACAAAAGAAAGGGAAGAAGGAAGGGAAGGAGAGAGGAAGGAGAGGGCGGGAGAAGAACGGGGAGGTCATCATGATATTTCTTTCACTTAGAAACAGTATGCAATTTTATGTATATAATTTTAACAGTATAACATATTAATTGCTTTTTACCAATTTATCTAATTGCTTTTTACCAATTTATCTAATTCCTTTTGATAGACATTTGACATGTTCTGTTATACAAATATTGCTAAGAAGAAATGTCCTTGTGCTTCCACATTGTTTTACCAGAATAGATTCCCAGAATTGGACTTACTGAATTAGAGGGAATAATCATCATAAAGTCTCTGATACATATCAACAGCTTATAAAAATAGTTTCAATTTACCCATCTTCTAGTAGTTAATGTGTTCATTCATTCTACCTTCCTGATACTGATATTTTTACATTGTGGAAATTTTTGAAGGCTAGTATTTGTATTTGGTATTTGGTTTATTATTCCACATATCTTAGTGAATTACCTTTCTATTTGATAAAATTTAAAACTTAACTATTAAGTGTTTATGTTAAAATTGAAGTGTCTACCATGTAAATAAATTATAGTCCTAGAATCACAAAACCATGAATAATATCTTAGAGAAAAATGTCAGTGGAGACCCAAACATGACAGCATCCAAGTTTATTAATGTCATTATTATAGCCTGAAGGCAATTTTGTCATTTTCCTTCAAAACTCAAACATTTATCTTAAATGTTTTATACCCAAGTGAGTTATTTTCCTTTCTACCAAATTCAGGTATTTCTTGTAGAATTATATTTATCTTTATCAGAAAACTTACCAGTAAAAAACGTTATTTCAGACCCTTGCACTGCTGAACCAGTTCAAGTCTAAACTCACCCAAGCAATTGCGGAAAATCCTGAAAATGACATTTCTGAAACAGAAGTAGACGATGATGAAGGATGGTAAGAGCTCTGATTTCTTTGCATTAACGCTGATCAAATAGGCTCAAAGTAGAGACACTTATGGGGATATTTCCATTATGTCATCCACTTTCTTTTCAGATCCTGTTGCCATCATTGTAAAGACTCTGTACCTTTTACTTCATCTCAGCTCAATTTAAAGTGATCAGTGAACATGTTAGCCACTCAGTAAATGCCTGTGTAGTGCTAGCCTGTAGTAAAAGAACAACAAATATTTGCCACTGTTTCTGCCTTAAGTCACTTTGAAAATTGTGAGAAAGATAAGACACATATTAAGTAGCTAGGAAACAACTTTAAAAGATAATACATCAGTGATTTTTAAACTTTCCCACCAACATTTTAGGATTCAGTAATTTAGTCAGTAATCTATTTGCTACTGACTTCCAATTCAGGTTTATGATCTACAGGATCCTTAGCAATATGAACTTAATTATATTTTAGCTTCAGATACTTTTCAGCTTTTAAAGACCCTGATAGAAAATGAGGAAAATAAGCTTAGGTATCTGTGGCCCATGCATGTAATCATAGCTGCTCAGGAGGCTGAGATCTGAGGATCACAGTTTGAAACCAGCCCAGGCAGGAAAGTCCATCAGACTTGTACCTCCAATTAACCAGCAAAATGCTGGATGTGAAAGTGTGGCTCAAGTGGTAGAACACCAGCCTTAAAACACAGCACCCAGGCCCTGAGTTCAGGCCCCAGCACCATTCCTCCCCATTACCCTCCACAAAAAGAGAGAGAGAGAGAGAGAGAGAATGAAGAAAATAATGGCATGTACCTACCCGGTGCTTAGAACTTTATCCTATGCTGGCAGAATGAAATAATAAATTGTTTTTAAGAATATTGTGCCCCTCTGTCCCCATGCTGATTCATCTGAAGTATGTTAGGCCTTCCCATACCTAACTGCTTCCCACAGCACTCTGCTAAGGCCTGTGAAAGCAGTCGAGCCAATGCAATACCCCCTACACATGACTCACCTCCTGGGGCCTCTGAACCATCACATGTGCCATTACCCCAACTCAGAATCATGGCCTCCCAAACAGTATCTCCCCTCTTACAAAATTGTTCAGCATTTGCATCTCTAGGAAACCTGTTAGGAAGATCTGTGGAATACTCACAAATCTAGAGGGTGGAGGAAGGAGGACTGGGACACATATTTTTTAAAAAGACGTAAAAACCCTTACTGAGAAAACATTTAAAACAAGTAAGGCTCTATAACTGTATATACTTGTTTAACCAAAAGGCTGAACGAGTGATCATTTGAATGGAATGAAGAAGCTTACCTACCTGAGCACCCTGAAAACAGTTACTCCTTGATTAATTATACTTTCCCTATGATCTGGGTCATGGTGCCAAGTTTTAGAAAATCCTTGATCTCTTGTAGCATGTTTCAGTTACTTATCTATTTGTTTATACTTAAATTCAAACTTGCTTAAAGGTAGAAACTGGCTTCTCCTACAGTTCTGTGCCAAAGGCAGAGGCTCATTGAGTGTTGATTGACCCATGGAAATAAATGTACACTGCATAGAAGAGCTTTCTGTTTTTATATGACTGGACAGGTTTAGTTTTATTTTGGATTCCTTGAATGTCTCAAAATATCTTTCAAATGTTTTCGGTTCAGCCACCACACAAAAAATGTTTTGCCAAGTTCTTGTCCCCTTATTTTTTAATCCATATGCATTTTTTAAGGAAATATGACCCATGTGTTTCTGATTCATTTACACTTAACTCATCAAGATGGTGTTTTGTAAGAGCAGTGTGATGCCCAATAAGTTTTTTTAACCTTTTTATAAGCCATTTAAGCCCTTTTTTATTGAACAGGAAAGTCACCAACAAATTCAAACCCCAGAAGTTTCATTTGAAACTCCTAACCCACAGGATTCAAATTTACTTTCAACTTGGCAAGATCATTTTACTTCCCGATGTTCTTCCTAGCCCCTTGGTTCAGTGTTCTCTCATTTTGAATGCTCATTATCTTCAGATATCAATTATGTGTTTTTAAAAGTCTCAATCATGTTTTTTATGGAGTTGACCATACATCCACGTTCCATCTAACATCCCAATAGAAAGCTAAATAAATGGGCAAATTTCACCAGATGAGGGGGAAAAAATCCTTCTTCATAATGTTGGCCACTTCTCCGTCTGAAGAAAAAAAAATTAGAAGAACCATCAGCAGGTCATCAACGGGTTTATTTCTGTTTTCAATTGTAATCTCGTAAGTAGAAAATCAGATCTGTGTATTTTGCACCTCCATAATATTTTTGGTATTTGTTTCATCTAATAATAAAAATTCCTTTAGTGTTCAAAGCACTACGTAGAATGATGTACATAGGGTCCTTCTGTGATTCCTTTTTATCGCAATATAGGCCACTTGGTTTTGTAACCTTATATGCAACAGCATCATTTCTGTTCACAAGTAAGTCAGTTCAGCTTTATCAAGTCTCTGGAGATTCAGACCCTCTTCATAAAACTATATTCTACACAAGAAAAGAGACTCATATTCTAATATTTATAGCAAATATTATGAGTGCATGGCATGTGCATGTGTGTTATGCATAAATTACATGCTTCCCAGATGATTTTGTAGGTCATGGTTGCTGCTTTTCTAAGAAGGGAAAGCCAGCCAGTCTGCTGTACTACACTGTCAGGGTCTGTTATCTGAGGTAAAATGATTGCTTCTAAGACATTTTTATGTGTCCGCATGAGTGGCCACACATTGAGGGATCATTTTCATTTTCTGTCAAGATAGAAACCATTACCAATTTGTTATGTTTTCTTTTACTTGGCAAGCTATCCTATTCACATTTTTGGCTGAGCTGCTGTATTGGCATGGTATACAACAGACATTTGGGTACCATTCAGCAGCATTCTACTTTTTTATGCAAAAAATAAAGTGGGAGGGGAAAGAAAAGAAATATGATTCTACTGTAAACAGTGTGTATGGTGTTTGATAATTAGTCCCAGATTTTACTGTCTTCCAAGGCATTTGAAGAAGTGTTACTAGTAGACTAAGCTAAAGTACATGGTGGACATTTTTCACTCAGAATTGGTTTTTTTTGTTTGGCTATATACCGTCAATATTTGGTGATAGTGATAGGTGACACTAGATTATAGTTTTGCAGATAGGATAGTCTCTTTGCCACTGTGTTTTCTTAGTTTTACAGCACCAAATTTGTACAGCTATAGAACAGTCTTCAAGTGGGGATTTCATAAAATGGATTAGACACATGGCATGAGGCATCAGCCAAAGCATTCATGTGACCATGTGGATGAAGTCCATATGCCAGTTTGGGTTTGGTTAGATAAAGCTTGATTAGCTCCCAAGAAAAGTTTTGAGAGAGCTAAAGCTAACGAGGCAGTGGAGAGACTTATAAAAAAGAAAGCCACCTGCTCTTACCACAAAAAATTAAATCTGAGTACAGACTGAAATTTTGTGAACATTAACTGTTCACTAACATACTCTCTCGAAAATGTCTTTCCAGATTGTTAAATGCAAGATTGTCTTAAACTTCACTAAATACTATAATGGTCTGTCTGACTTCTTCTTCCCCTTCCCCTTTCTTCCATTGTATATACAGTATTCAGTATTTTAAATATGTGAAAAACCTTAATGTTGCATCGTTGCCTGAAGTAAACGTTGCTAATGGTTATTATGAGGAAAATACTATTCCCTATAGAAAAATCAGACCACAGGCCCCATCACAAAAGTAAATAAAAACAATCTGTAATCTCAAAATCAAATACCTAATATGCACATATTAATTTCTATACTATAAATATATGTAAATGTTTACATTAGTAATTTGTACATATTAATTTATACTCTTCCAGACATTTCTATGTACATGTATATTTTAAGAGGGAATAGGATCATATGTTTTAGTTTATCCTTTTTCCCCTCAATGTATAGTGACTACATCTCCCTGTCATACATGACGTTGTGAAATGATTTTAGTATTTAGTATTCCATAATATTTTATTATATGATAAACATAGTCTGAGTTGTCTTATTAATGACCATGCCTGTGTGTACTTAGGCTCTTTCTGCTTTCTGTTATTATAAATAATGTTAAGAAGAACATTTTTATCTGTTCCACTGTCTACTTTCTCAAGATAAATTTCTAAAATTGGAATTGCTAAGTCAGTGAGGGTGCATGTTAGGCTTCTGCTAAACATTTTCAAATGGCCCGCCCTAAACGTCATTCTAGTTTATACTCCCAAGTCAGTTTAGACTTGCCTGTAAGGCAGTTAGAATCTCAAGGATTGATTAAAGTTCTTTGCAGTGCTTAGTGAAAGAAAATAACATTTTAGGAGAAATGAATTACATTTGTAAAAATTTTGGTTTGCTTCTGTTTTTAATAAAACTACACACTTTTTGACACAGCTCTTGTCAGAAGCCTCATCTCTGATTTGTCTTATTCTTGGTTCTGAAAAATTCCTCCTAAATAATTCTGGGTTAAAACTGTAAAGTCTGGACTTTTTTATCCTGAGTTTTACTACTAAATTCTGGCTTGTGTTTAATATCAGTTTTATACACCAGTCACTGTTTTTGCTAGAGATGGAAGTTTTGAAAGTCATGAACTGGAGAGTGTTTCTCTGAAGTTAACATAGTACATAAGAAATAAGTACCAGTTGTCTGAATATCCAGTGAAATTTTAATAATACAGATGTTAAAAAAAGAAAGATGATTGACTTTTGGTTCTACCTTATAAGATACTGTTAGTGAACATAGCTTCTTCTCATTGCTTCTCCTGGTAAAGCTTTAAGTATGTACTTTATACACATAATTTATAGAATCATTTGTGTATATTTCTATCAAATCTCGAATGAAAAGTACAATGGCAGCAAACAAATATTTTAATTGGAATGCCCACATCATCCTGTGTGGATGTGACCCAATTTATAGGACATGGGAAGCTTTATTTCCATGTCTCTGTTTGGTCATTCTTCTCAAGCAATGTCACTATGGTATTTTTGAGATTCA